ATGTTTTAGGACCTAGTCTTGCAATTTTCAAAAAGATTTCCAAAAAATATTTTTTCTAAACTTTTTTAAAAACCTTATTTAGATGAGAAACATGCAGAAAAGATAATATTTTGAAAAATAATTTCACAGATTTTTGCCGAACAATTTCAAATAATTTTTTTTAACCCAAAGTTTTTTTCAGAATGCTATATTTGGATGAGAAACAAAGGTAGAATTTTGAAGATTTTTTTTCATCACAATTTTCATCAACATCTGACCAAAATTATGGTTTTGCCAAATTATTCCAAAAATTTTGAATAATTTTGATGAAATTTTTTTTTTTCTCAAACATTTTTCTCAAAGTTTTTTAACATCTGACCAAACATTAGTTTTACAAAAAAAACCTTTTTTCAAAACATTTTTCAAAAAAAAATTAAAACATTTTCTCAACTTTTTTCAAAACATTATTTAGATGAGAAAGACGCAGAGAAGATAACATTTTGAAAATAATTTTACATATTTTTTTGAGTTTTGCCCAAAAATTCTAAAATGCATTTTGTTGAGAAACATGCAGAAAATATAATATTTTGAAGATTTTTTTTTTACAAACTTTTCATCAAAATTGCTTCACCATCTGATTAAAATAGGACAAATTCAGATTTTTCTGAAAAAAATTCTCAAAAATGTTCCTAATTTTTTCCCCAAAATGCTCTAATTTGATGAGAAACATGCAGAAAAGGTTACATTAATGTTTTTTTCACAAAGTTTTCATCAAAAATGTTTTATTACCATCTGACCAAAACATGACAAATTCAGATTTTGCCAATAAACATTTAAAAAAAGTTTCCAAAATGCTCTAATTTGATGAGAAACATACAGAAAATATAAAATTTTGTTTTTTTTTCTCAAAATTTTTCATCAAAGTTTTTCACTGTGACCAAAGATAACAAACAGATTTTGTACAAAAAAATGTAACTGTTTTCAAAATGCTCTAATTTGATGAGAAACATTCAGACAAGATACAATTTTGATTTTTTTCATCAAAATTGTTTACCATCTGACCAAAAAATTACAAATTCAGATTTTGCCGAAAATTTTCCAAAAAATGTTTTCAAAATGCTCTAATTTGATGGGAAACATGTAAAAAAAGATAAAATCTTGATTTTTTTTATTTGAAAAATAATTCTAAATCTGATCAGAAAAATGACTAATTTAGATCTTGCCGAAAAATTACGGTTCGGGTTAGTTTTCAGAGAAGAATTGTTTTGTGTTCTTAATCAATTAAAAAGGTACTTCAAAGCAAACACCATATAGACTTTACTAATTTTAATTAAAAAACCTATAATGGACTATCATCGATCATGGACAACTTTTGAAAACTGGCTGCTAACAATATTTTCAAAAAGCGTAATTCTGTGTGGACTTTTTACTGACCAATTTTGAAGTTGGTGGTCTCCAGTGTAGGGCAGGTGAACAGTCGGGGAAACACCATATAGATTGGAATGGAAAGACCATGACACACGTCACCTTCAGCAATCTGGATGTTCTGGATCTCTGTGGCGTCCCTGGCGTAGCCTTCAGCACAACCTTGAAACAGCAAAGGTTCAAAAAATATATTCCAAGTAAAGGGCATTTTTCCCTCTATTCATTAGGCTGCATGGACTCACCACAGGTCTCTACTCTAACTAGCTGCAGTTCAATACTTTTGATGGGAATGTCTGAATTCTCCACCACCACCTCACCAGTCAGGGGTTGACTGATCACACAGTTGGTGGCGTCTAAATGTCCTCTGATCAGAAACTTTGGCAGAGAACCCCTCTGTAAACAGGGAGGGTCAGTGTCACTACAACTGTGAGTCAATAAACAATCAAGATCAGGAGCAACACTGTCTACATACCTCTTTGATGTTCTCCAGTGTGTCTGGAGTGATAGTGAAGTTGACAGGAGTCGGGGCAACTTTTGTTTTCTGAGGCTAAAAATCAACATGAAACAGAATGTATGGAATTATTTAATGTATCATCAAGTCATGTGTTACAATGTAGAACATAAAAGCAAAGTTAAATATATCTAAGTAAATATTTTTAATATTCTGGATTAAAATTTGACCGGGGTCATCATGTGTACAAATAAAGCAGGCCTGTACAAGGTTTTCTTTTAACACCCTGCATTGGCTACACTCCATGTTTACAGCTTAAAAATAATCCTACCTTTAACTGTAACCATAAGTAGTTAATGCTTTACCTGGAGTCTTACTAACTTTCACAGTATTTGCTTCACTCACCTGACAGTGTATGATGAACTCACAATTTCTGCTCAGGTCTTTAGCCAACAGGGGGCGCCTCATGTCACAACGCAGGGTGTACTGAAGATGATGAAAGCGAAACAAATGTATGTAATGTATGGTAATACAGTATCTGCTTTATTTCCTTCTCGTTTTGTATGTTTATATATATTTTTTTTAGAATTAAAATGTGATTACATGAAAAAACATATTTTTATCAATTCCCTAATTATTATTAATAAATGAATATTTACTTAGCTATGTGCAAAAGTCTGTTTTTGAACTGTTTTGTGCAACAAGTTTTTTTATTTATTTAGACTCACACAAAAAATACATATAAACATCTGGTAACAGAAAGTTCAGTTGGACTTGTAATGTACAAGATAGAGATCATATTAGTGATGAACAGCCCATCTATAACATGACACCAACATGTCCAGCATTTTTACACTGAATTCAACTTAGTAAGAGGTCAAACAATAGTTTTTTGTAATCCAATCACTTTACTCACCTGAATGTTGACAAAGACACCGTGGTAGGTCTCATAGAGCACTTTATTGCCTTTGGTCTGGAGTGGAAACTCAAAGGGTATCTCAGTTTTACCACCTGGAATTTTTCCTGCTTTGGCTACTTCAATGTTATTACTGATCAGCTGGATGGGCTGCAACAGGACACAGAAAGGTCTCAACATTTAATTTTATGAATGTATGCCAGATGAACATCTTTATCACAATTTATTGAGCTACATAATGTTTGTGTGGAATTAATATACTTTTTTTAATATACTACATTTGCATTTATATTGTATATAGTACAGCACTATAGTAGTGAAAATAATGTAACATAAAATACTGATATTACCAAAATATGTTTGAAAGGTTATTCTACAACAAGTTAATAGTTTATCTATTTTTGTGAATTTTAATGGCAGTGTATTGATGCGTGACTTCAGCTCTCATTGTAGCCCAGAGTTTACCTTGACAGAGTTGTAAAAAGCCTCAAAAACA